GGCGGGGTACCATTTTGCCCTGATGCGGGCGGCACCCGGCGAGGCGCTGCCTGGCCTACGCCATTTTGGTCGCTGCCCGGCCCGGCCGGCGCCGGGGAGCTCGTGTCGGGTGCCTTCGGGGGCTGACGAACGAATGCTGCCCGCCAGCGGCGCCAGCTCTTAATTGCTGGGGTTGGGAGCAGCCCCTTGCCAGGGCGATGCAGCCGTCCGCTACGCTCAGCTGTCGTTGGAATTGGTGCTTGGAGTGCTGGCGAATGCTGGTGAATGAAGTCGGCCTAAACACCGCGATGAGAAGAGGTGTTTTCGTGAGAGGTTAGGGCTCCCTGAAGAAGCTGGAGTTGCCTTGTTCGTTTGACGTCGGGTTGGTGCACGCATTTGTCCCCTGTGTGCGTTTCAGAGGGCTCAGCTATCGGCAGCATGGAATCGTCCTACAACAGGAAACTTTTAAAAACAGTTGCTGTGAAATCCACATATTGTGCCAAGAAAAAAACACAGCAATTTTCGCATGCTTTTTTTAATGTGAATCGTGAGATTAACGTCTTAACTATAGATGCTCTTTTTTCGCTAGGCAATGAGACAGCAGAATAAAGGGAGATATATTAAAAAAAACACAAAAAATCCCCACAAACTTCCTGTGGCCTTAAGATGCCTTTTTCCCCTCTCGCGATGCTATAGTCCTGGAAAAATGGGCAATACAATAAAAAAATAGCTAGAATTATAGGCTCTAATCTGCAAGCAAAGATTAGGAGATGGTTGCATTCATGTAGGAGGTTGTCGGGTGCGTTCATTCCGTGTTGAATTAGCTTGTCTAATGATAGCCTGAGTCACATGTTCGATTACTGCACAGTAAAATTTTTTAATCTTTACAAGCCGGTAGTAACCCTTGGTTATTGGGTGTAATAAGCAAGCTTAACTCGAGATTTCTCCATAGCTTAATTTTTTTTGTGATTTGAAACAAAACATGTTTAATTACCTTTAATGGATTGCTACGTTTGTTTGGTCTATGTAGTGCAGAGTGAGAAACATTATTATTGGAAGCTGCGTATTTTAAGTTTTGTGTGTGACAAAACAAATACTTTGTCATGTATTTCTTTGGCTGGTTGAATTTGTAGATTTAAATACTTGCTACTTGGTTAAAACTGAATTCTCTAAACCAATTGAAATCAGTGCTTATACTTAAAGAACTGAGACCTTGAGATGATGAATTTTTGTTAAAAATCCCTTGGACTGAAGTTTAATGGTGGGTACACGCAGTTATTTCTGCAGTGCTTTTAATATGGTATTTCAAGTGGATGTAACTCGTAACTCCTTTGTTACTTAAAACTGGCTGCATTTCTTGCTGCTTTCTAAAAGGCCTCCTACAAACTTATGACTTACATACTCAACATATTGCTTCTGAGACTTCAGAGATTGTTGATGATTATTGTCTCATAATGTGTGTGACTTAGTGGCCTGGTAATAAGAATCTGCTGATTTCGAGTGTTAATTGTTTACTGTTTGTTTTTAGGTATGATGGAGAGGAAGTTTTCAGTGGTGCCCAAAACATTATACAGAAGCAGGAAGGTAATGGCTCTGGATTTTTTTTAATTTTGTTGCTCTGGAAGTAATGCTACATTTCTATTGTTGATCAAGATAATAAATGCTTCCATTTCTTACTTGGTTTCCATATTTTTGTCTGGAAAAGTACGGAATGTGTTAAGTGCCAAAGGGTTGTCATCTTTGTATGGCTACTGAGCGGAACAAAAAGGAAAAACAGTTACGATATACTGTATTTTCATAGTTGCCATCAAATGGATGAGTAATTATTTAACGACTTTTTTGTGCTCTTCACTGAGTTAAGGTCGGCCCTTAGGTCAGTTCGTAGTTTCTTTTCCTGCGGCATTTAAATAAGCATGAAGCCCCACATGATAAATCACTTGGTTAACTTGTGCTAAATTATACTGATTTTGGACTTCAGGGTAACTTTTTTCTAGTGCATAGAAAAGTTCAATTTGTCAGGTATTGAAGACTGTTCTAGACCAATATTGAATTGTTGTATGAAAAATTGAATTTTTAGTGCTTGGTGATTGCTTCTGACATGGTAACATGAGACGTGATGGCTAGACCACAGCAAGAGACATTTTCTACTTTAAAACGTAATTTTTGTTTTGTTTAATTTCAATTTTAGTCCTTCATGGAAGCACCATCAGAAGTAGAAGAATACTTGGTACACACAAGTGGATTTTCCTGAAAGCTATGTATGTTTTGAATGATCAGTGGGGATAAATTAATATGATAAATAGATTAGCAAAATATACGTATGATCAAATTAGTACGTGTGTCATTAGCTTTAAAATTGAGGTATAGTTGTATTTCAGGCATGTTTGACATGGTCTAGAACTGTATAGGCTGGGGAGTTGGTGAATCGTTTATTTGGGTCGCTGTCGGAGGACCTGGTAAAATATACCTGTCTGAAGTGTTCATACTAAATCTAACAAAGATTACCTCAAGATGGCTTTTAGTTGGGAATTTGCACTTTATTGGGAGATTAGTATAAGAAAGTGTTTAGGCTGAGAAAACAAAGGGGACATCTAGAGACTTGTTAATATAAACAGGCAAATGGTTCTAATTTTTTAATAAAAATGTGTATTCATTTTTTAAAGAATATGGTTGATATTCTCACCTTTTGGAAATGCTAAGAAATAACTTCAGGATCTGTATTTGATTTAATTTGACTCAAATACTTGCAACCAGTGGTTGGGAGGAAAGGGGGATCCACAAGAGTAAAACTTGGTTGTTCCTAATGAGTTGCGCTATATTAAGTGTGAACATGTTGTAATTTACTATTTTACTCAAATTTCTAGAATGGCATGAACAGTTTCTAATAATGGGAATGTCAGGCGTCCTGATGAAAGATTTCCTGGCAACTGTAGTACAACAGATAGAGGTAATATTTATTGATTAAGCAGCTGAAATGTTTTGTTAATTCAACGTATTCCCTTTTCAGTATATCTGCATATGAAAGACACAAAGCTTATGTTGTGGAATATATGAATGTATGAATTGCTTTGCAGTCCCAGTCACAGATACTTAAGTGGTAAATTATGATGAAACTGCCAAACCTGATATGTTGATGAGAAACTTCATACGGATCTGGCTACTGAGATGAAACCACTTAACTCTTTCAAAAGTCACTTAATCTTTCAGTCATTATCCCAGCTGGTGTTATTTTTATTTCTGTCCCCATGTACAAGCTATATGCCACCACGCTCCAGGTTGTGAATAAGGATGTTGGTACATTATTTAAACTCGCCTCAGCTCCATGTTGACATGGATATGTGCTGTTGCAAAAGCTAGCATCTTTAAAGAGCAGAGAGAGAGGGAAGTGTTAGACTGCTATAATTTGAGGTATCCTGTCTTATAGTGGGTAAATAACAAACATCAGCCAGGTGTGTTAAAAGTGCCCTGGTAAGGAAGTGTTGCTGGTGTTTGAAAGCTAGTGATGATGTTTGTGCTTTGACCCTCTTAGGACTGTTAACTTGGGGCTCACTCAGATGAGAGCATTTAGGAAAAGTAATGTTAATGAGTAAAGGTGAAATTTGGTGGTGAATTTTAATGAATTCTAATTATATTAAAGCTGTTTCAGCTCCAGAGCTAAACTAATTCAGAAGGGCTAGTATAACATTATACTTGCAGCAGGCAAAAAGCGTGCTTGTGAACGCTTACTGTGCATCAAGAGTGTTGGTAGTGGTTTCCCCAAGAACTTCATTCTTACCGAAGTATCCGAATTTAATCTTTTTCAATGAAATTTACTTTAATTGCACTGGTTCCTGAGTATCCACAGTTTGTTTTTATTAAAGAAGCTAAAATCTAAAGCGCAAGGACAAGTTCTAATTTTCTTGTCTTACTACAACTTCTATAATTTTATTCCACTCCTTACTAAAGAAGGGTATATACCTTAAATTAAATACCTTGCTAACTACCAGCAGTTTCTTTTGATGAACAGGCTTTGTCCCAGTATGTGAGTGAAACTTCTTGTGCAGCAGTGCTACCTATAAAATGCTGTATTGTTTAGATGGGCGATATTACAAGTAGGAAGTGGAGTGACTTACATGGCTGATCTAGAGAAGAGTTGGAAGTAGCAAGCCTTGTTAGTGTAACTAACCAGTGCCTTTTATGTCTTTGCAGAGATGCTTGAAGGCTGCTTCTCAATTGAAGGTATGAATTCCAATAAATGTTAAGATTAATTTAAAAGCTTGGTGTGAGAGTAATGCTTAAAACCATTGGTATGTCTGATCAGTGAAGAACCTATCCTGAACCTGATTGATTGCTTGATGAAAAACACATGTGAATCTGACTTCTGAGTTTAGACTACTCTAACACCAGAACAGGTGAAGTCTTTGAAGATGATAGGCTTCATAGTCTGTACATACCTTGAAACTCAGCAAAACTGCTTTAAATAAGTAATGATAATTTTTAAATGCCTGCTTTAAAAACTGCATTATTGTCAACCCCACTTATAAGCAGGAGGTGACATGTAAACTGTTGTATTACAAATGGCGTATTTGAAGTGGAGTGGGGTTTGTATGTATATGCATTACGGAAAATGGTGAAACATCTAATGATCTATCTTGGCCTTTTTTTGAACTTTCAGTTCTAGTTCGGAGGTAGTCTCAATTTTCCCGTTGCTTGCAGGAGAGTCGTATGTAGAAGAATGTGGTCTGGATGCAGTTTTTTGTTTAATGCTTGCTTGTTGGTGGATTTTAGCTTCTGGAGTTTTCAATGTTTTGATAGAAGCTGAGAACCAGGTATTAGCTAATTTTCAGAAATGAACTTTTTGATTCTCATAGGAGAGGGGGAATTACACTTGATCGGTTAGTTGCCTATCATAGTTTGTAATGAAGTTGAAAAATACCTGGGCAAGAGAAGCAAAATAAATCTTAGTGTGGCATGACTACACTTCTAAGTTAAGTTTCACAGAACTTGCAGAGTACTGATACTAATCCAACACATGTTTAATAATGCAGTTTGGTCTGTATGAGAGACTAAATGGATGGCAAGTTGTATTTTGAGTGATGGAAGAAAATTTTTCTGAACTAATAAACGTCTCTTTTTGGACAGGAAAATGGTCAAAAATGTAGGAACAAATGCTTTTAGCTTATTCAGGTATATAACTGAAAAGCTTCTAAACATTTTCTCGTTTTAAGTCTAAAGTAACACTGTGCTTACAGTTTGGGAATTTTTTTGTATTATGACAGTTGTTGATAAGCTTAATACACTAATTGATCAATTGTTATGGTAAGTTGGCAGAGTAATTAATTCTGTACATAGTCAGAATTTAAGAACACTTGTTCCCCAAGGCACAATGTATGTTGATAGCTGTGCCTAACCTTGGTTAGCTTTCAAACCTACATGAAAAGTTTTAAATAATGTACATTATTATTGCAATATGCCAAAGGACTAGAGAATGTTTAAATTTTGTATTGCAATCAGAAACCCTATAGAAAAACATACATTTCCTATTAAATTTACGTTTTCTGTATTGCTTTTGTCTCATCTGTGATGATCCTATCCCGAACCTGAATTCCTTGCTGAAAAGCCTAATACGGATCCGGAATCTGAGACGAGACTGAAAGATTTAATTTAAACTTTCTGAGTAGTAGTATAATGTCTGTGGGGTTTTAGGTTTTCTTACAGAAATGGTAACACCTTAATGTGTACAAAGTGTTGTGTACTTACTTGCAAATGGAAATTTCTCCCTCAAATGAACCGTTTTACTTACACCTTGTTCTCTTTTTCCAGTGATGAGTTGGAACACTTCGTCAGTGCTGCCTGACAAATGTGGATGACCTGTAACTGGAAGGAAGTGTAACACCCAAAGAGTTTTTGTGGCTTGGAGTGGGACGCCACGCTTTTCAAAGCCTGCTGAAACAGCTGCTGCAATTTTGTTTAGCAGATACTGTTTTCAGAAACTGCATGTGAACCAAAATCACTGTCTCTGCATATTTAAAATAGTGCTTTTCCCAAAACATTGAGCTGCCCTCTGTAGGAAGGATAGCAGCGATATTAGGGAAATGAGTGTTGAGCTTCAATACATGGAAAAAACCCTGAGACTATTTGCCCTTTTAAAATATTATAAGGTTGTACAGACTTGTTGATACTGAAAATCTGTAATAA